ACCAACTCTGACCCTTTTATTCACAGACTGGCTGTTGTTTTAAGCTGCTGAGTTGAAGTCTGGCTTTTTTTATTGAGAGAAGTGTCCACCCCCACTTTCTATCATTTGGTGACCATACTGTGAGACTCTAACCTCCATCCTCTCCCTCAGCAGTATCCTCGTTGTTCTTATGTGCCCTGTAGAGGGTTTCTAAGGAGCAGCTGGTGGGTTTGAGCCACTGACCATACTGCTAGCAGTCCAGTGCTGGTCCGACAGTGCCACACCAGGGCTCCATTATCCTCTGTATGCTATCCAGTAAATGCAGCACCCAAATGATACACAATGTAAAATTTAAAAAACCTTTTCATGATGGTGCTTTACAGACTCAACCTTACAATATATGTTGTGCAGTAATTTCCCCAAGTATAATATTCCGACTCATAGCGACCCTGTATAGGGTTTCCAAGGAGCAGTTAGTGATTCTGAACTGCCAACCTTATGGTTCACAGTCTAGTTGTTGTTGTTGTTGTTGTTAGGTGCCATTGAGTTGGTACTGACTTATAGCGGCCCTATGCACAACAGAATGCAACACTGTCTGGTCCTAGGCCAACCTCACAATTGTTGCCACGCTTGAGCCCATTGATGCTGCCACTTGGCCAATACATCTCGCTGGGGGTCTTGCCCTTTTTCTCTGACCCTCTACCTTATCAAACATGATATCCTTCTCCAGAAACTGGTCCCTCCTCACAACATGTCCGAAGTATGAGAGATGAAGTTTGGCCATCCTGGCCTCCAAGGAGCACTCTGGCTGCACTTCTTCCAACACAGATCTGTTGGTTCTTATGGCAACCCATGGCACTTTCAATATTCTCCTCCAACACCAGAACTCAAAAGCATTAATTCTTCTACGGTCTTTCTTATTCACTGTCCAGCTTTCGCATGCATATGAGGTTTTTGAAAATACCATGGCTTGGGTCAGGCGCACCTTAGTCCTCAAGCTGACATCTTTGCTCTTCAACACTTTTTTTTTTTTTAAGGTTTTTATTGTGGATTGAGTGAAGGTTTTCAGGGCACATCATCGGTTTCACATTCAAACATTCATATACCTTGTTTCATTACATTGATTATAATCCCCTCCACATACCATCAGTTAACAGAGTTTCTCTCTATCCTCTTTAGCTTTTTTTGGGGGGGAAAAACTTTGCCTTTTTGGAATTTACAGTCTCGGCTTTTAGGGATGGTTTTTACATTTATCTGTGGGTATCTTCAACACTTTTGAAAAGGTCTTGTGCAGCAGATTTGCCCAATGGACTATGTCATCTGATTTCTTGATTGCTGCTTCCATGAGTGTTAGTTGATCCAAGAAGAATGAAGTCCTTGACAACTTCAATCTTTTCTCCATTAATAAGAATGTTGTTCATTGGTCCAGTGGTGAGGATTTTTGTTTTCTTTACATTGAGATGTAATCCACACTGAAGGCTGTGGTTTTTGATCTTCATCAGTAAATATTTTAAGTCTTCTTCACTTTCAGCAAGCGAGGTTGTATCATCTGCATATCATACGTTGTTAACGAGTCTTCCTCCAATCCTGATGCCACGTTTTTCTTCATAGAAGCCAACTTCTCGGATTATTTGCTCAGCATATAAATTGAATAAGTATGGTGAAATATTACAACCTTGTTGTACAACTTTCCTAATATTAAACCATTCAGTGTTCTCATGTTCTGTTCAAACAACTACCTCTTGGTCTATGTACAGGTTCCTCATGAGCACAATTAAGTGTTCCATAATACTCATACTTCACAATGTTGTCCGTAGCTTCTCATGATCCACACAATCGAAGGCCTATGCACAATCAATAAAGCACAGATAAACATCTTTGTGATAGTCTCTGCTGTCAGCCAAGATCCAGCTGATGTAAGCAATGATATCCCTCATTCCATGGCCTCTTCTGAATCTAGCTTGAACTTCTGGAAGTTCTCTGTCATTGTATGGTTCCAGCCGTTTCTGTATTACCTTTAGTGAAACTTTACTGGCATGGGATATCAAGGATATTGTCCCATGAGTTCCACATTCCATTGGGTCACCTGTCTTTGGAATGGGCATGAATACGGATCTCTTCCAATCAGTCGGCCAGGTAGCTGTCTTCCCAATTTCTTGGCAGAGATGAGTGAGTGCCTCCAGTGCTGCCTCACTTTGTTGAAAAATTTCCATTTGTATTCCATCAATTCCCGTCGCCTTGTTCTTTGTCAATGCCTTCAATACATCTTGGACTTCTTCCTTTAGTATTATTGGCTCTTGATCATATGCTACCTCTTGAAATGGTTGAACATCGACCATTTCCTTTTGGTACAGTGACTCTGTGTATTCCTTCCATCTTCTGTTGATGCTTTCTGCATGTAGGGTACCTTAAAAAAAAAAAGAAGTCTTTTTTAAAAAGCATTGTACAAAGGTCAGCTAGCTTAAAGAGCTGATTTTTCCATCGCTCTTTTTAGCACAGTCAAAGCTAATGAAGATGATTTCATGGAACCAATCATAACCAATGAGTCTTGGATTTATCAATTTGATCAAGAGAGCATGGTCCAATCAAAACAGTGGCTTCTGAGTACATCTGCTAGCCCACTTACATTCAAGGTAGAGAGGTGAATTCCGAAGGTTTTGGCATCTGCTTTCTGGGATCCCAAAGGAGTAATCCAGAGAGATTTTCTTGAAGGACACAGGATGATCATGGGGGTTATGATGATGACATTTTAAGGGAACTGTGCCGGGGTCTGCCCTCGACATAGTTGTTTTGTTCATGAGTGTTTGGTTCACGAGGAGGGGAGATCCAGTGACGATAGGGATAGCGAAAGAATACACAGACAAACAGAAGGAGGGAGACAATGAGGCACCCCAAAGCCAGGGTGGATGCATCACTGGTGGGCAGGCTTGGGAGTACAG